GGCTCATTCCCTGATTAAAGTGGCAGTCCTCAAAGAGGACACATGGCCCGGGTTTCCAGGGTGGAAGTTGTTGATGCTGTTCCGTGAGAATCATTGCTTCTGAGATTCGGCAGCTGGCTATGGGATTTGACATCAGTGAAGATGAAACCCAGGGCATGGTGTAAATACATAGGCAAGTGCTTTATTACTGCATTCCTAACCCTTCCTAACATTTTACTGTTTTTTTAATGGACCCTCCCCCCAGTATATATCAGAAAGTATGTCCCCATGCATACCCAAGCACTCCCAAGGCCTCCTGAATTCTGAATTACCTATGGGAATCAACTGCATGAGATTTACCAGGGGGAAGCAGAGTTGTGATCTTCTACTTGTGCCTCTTATGTGAACATTTGCCCAGTCTCCTGCTGGGCACCTCTGTCCTTCTCCAAGTGTGCGCACACACGTACACTGGGAATTTATACCGAAACCACAGACAAAAAAAGGATGTGCTATGTCCCCTGGGTGAGACTCGAAAGAGATGGCCTCTGTGTTATATGGGCCAGATTCAGAAGGACTAAGATCTGAGAGGCACCGCTTTCCATCCACAGACTCTATTGATGAGGAACCAATAATCTCCGAGCCTGTGGTTTCCTCGGGGAGTTGGATGGATGATGCTCTCCAGGACATACCAGGTCCTTGCCTTCCATTCAGGCTCTAGTGGGTCCCATCCCCTCCCCCCTTCCCGAAGGAGGCATACTCATTTTCCATGTGTCATATATTTTAAGCACACAGTGAAATTAAAATAGTAATTTAACTAATCAAAAGAAAAAGAAGAAAAATTGATTATCTGTTGAAATGACAGTCCTTCTGCTTGTTGCACTAAAGTACAATACTGAAATCGGTAACACTGATCTTTTATATTTTTTAATGTAACTACTAGAAAAACTTAAACTACGTGCACAGTTCACATTTTATCTCTGCTAGAGATGGATTCTCTAGAACAGGAGTTAGTAACTGTTGTAGACCTCCAGCCTCCTGTAAAAAAAAGTTTTATTAGAAAGCATCCGCGCTCATTTTCAGTGGCTGTGGCTGTTTCCCTGCCATGCCAACAGAGTTGAGCAGTTACAGTCGTTATGGTCACGGACCCTCCAGCACTTGCTGCCTTGCTGTTCAAGGAAAACTGTTGATCTGAGTTCTAGTGTACCTTTTGTGACAGCCAAGGACCACATAGAGACTATCTAATATTTTATGCAACACACGTAAACATGAGCCTCAAACAAAAGTTTTACAAAACAAATTTTCACAAAGGCTCCCTGTAGATATTTTCTGATTGTTTCTACTTTCTTGAAGTGAACTATTGACTAGCAAACTTTTGTGACCACCCATTCTCTGCTAGTGATTTTAATAACTTTGCTCAAGGACAAGAAGATCTGAAGGTGGACACTGGGTTACATTGGATTAATTTTTAGGATTCACTAAACTGGTAGAGGTGGTGGTGGTGGTATTTGTGTGTCTGTATACTAATCTATGGTCCCACAAACAATGCAAACTATTAAAATTGTTTGTCTTACAGACTTTTTAGTCATTGAGGCTGACCATCTTTTTGTGCACTGACTGACTTCTTGAGTCTCAGTTTATGAATTGCGTGTTTACTTACATTGCTTTGGGAAAATTTTAAAACTGTTGAGTACATGTGCATGGGCATGCGCTTGCCGTGGTACACGTGTAGAGGTCAAAGGGCAACTCTCGTGAGCCAGTTTTCTCCTTCTGCCTTGTGAGTCCCAGGAAGGCTTGGGTGTGCCCACCCTTACCCTCTGAGCTATCGCTGTCCTCTACTGCCTTTTCAAAAATGGAGTCGTTGGTGGTTTTCTTTAGGCCTTCTTTGGATATTCTGGATACCAACTTATGGTACGTGGGGGTTGCGGACATGGAGCTAGTTCACCCCAAGGTTCTTGTTTCCCCTTTCTATGCAGTGCCTTCCGGAAGTTTGAAATTTTAAAGTGCTGAAAATGATCTAGGCATCCATCTACATTTTTTTTCTGTTCTCTTCTTTTCTTATTTAAGTCATACTTCCTTATCTAGGGTCAGAAATGTTTTCCTTGGTAGCTTCCACTTAGAGAATTAAATACCACCCCCACCTTTTTAACCACACACACACATACACACACACACACCATGCCGTGCACAGTCTGAGATACAGCATGAGTGTCAGTGTCTCATCATAACTGACTATATGATAGTTCAGACTTGCTTGCTGTCTTCCCATCACTCTGGTACTGCCTGTGTCACAGCAAGTTCTGATACCTGCGGGTCCGTTCCTTGGGACTCCCACTCCATATCTTGGTCCTGTGATCGCCAGAGCTCACTCTTTACTGATGTCACTTACCCTGCAAGGCCTCAGTGACTTTATGGGAAGTTACAGTGACCTTTCAAGAATCGCATAAGTCTTATAAAAATGACATCGGATAATTGAAACAGAAAAAAAAAACCGACCCAGCTCATTTTGTTACTCTGATTTAACCTTTACAAAAAGACAAGAAAGAAAAACTGTGGGCTGGCTGCTGAATGAATATAAATATGAAACCCCTAAGCTACATGTCAATAAAATTCAGCAATGGGTGGTAAATTGTAAATAAAAATGTCTTCCATAGCCCACAACATGCTTTGTATTGCCGAATCGTGCTTGGTCCTGTTTTTGTATGGAGATTGGCATCGAGCACCCAAGAGTTCCCTTTCCTGTCAAATCTGGCACATCCGCAGAGTGCCCGTGTGTGTGTGTGTGTGTGTGTGTGTGTGTGTGTGTGTGTGTAGATTTGTTTATTTATCATAAGTCATTGAGTGTTTCCTCGGTGTGTGGAGTAGGCACCATTCCAGCTCAGAAATCAGGGAGCTCAAGTGTCCCATTAGTGATTCTCTCTCTTTCTCTCCCTCTCTCCCTCCAACCCTCCCTCCCTCCCTCCCTCTTTTTGTTTGTTTGAGACAAGGTCTCTCTCTGTAGCCCTGATTGTCCTGGAACTTTCTTTGTAGACCAGGTTGGCCTCGCAAGCTCACAGGATCCACCTGTCTCTGCCTCCCACACCTGCCTTCTAATGGAGATGCTAAGAATTAGAATTCAAGCCCTCATCCTGCAGACCAAATGCTCTTATCCCCTGAGTCATCTCCCTAGCCACTGAGTGTCTAGGTCTGACGATGACTGGGCAAATCTAGAGAAGACTTTGGAGCCAGCCCCTCTCCTTCACGGAGTTGTCCTTGTGGAAACTTCTTCATCTTGAGACTTCTGAGAAAGCCATTTGTGTTTGTGTTTCATCACAGTGACTAAATGCTTGAGAAAGTCAACCTGAAGGAAGAAGGGGTTCAGTCCCTGAGACTTGAATCCATTGTTTCTGGGCCTGAGATAAGGCAGAACATTACAGCTGGTGTCAGGAGGCAGAGCAACACAGCTGGTTTCGTGGTAGCCTGGGACAGAAGGATAAAAGAAGAAAGGACTAGGTACAAAACACACCTTTCAAGGACATTTCCCCGTGGTCTGCTTCCTCCAACCAGGCGTCATCTCCTAAATGCTCCATTGCCTCTCAAAACCCAATTATGATCTGAAATTATAAATGTACTAATCCATCCATGACATCAGAGACCCGGTCATCCAATCACCTCCCAAAGTCTCCATCTTCATACTCTGCTACACAGAAGGTCAGAGCCTTCAACACACAGGATTTGGAGGCTGCTTACAATGTATAAGCTGTAATGCTGTTGCTGAAACAGCTGAAGAAGAAAATATATTGTTAATCTCATCGGAAGCTTAAGTAAAGACTACGATTCCCATAGCATGAAGACGGCCTTGCTGTTTCACTCTGTTTTCATTTCCTTTTATTTCTTTGTTGGTCTTGCTTTGTTTTCCAGACTTTGACAATTGTCCTACAATGTTAAGATTTCCTCTTACCATTGCTGTCATGGTCACTTAATATTTGACAGTTTGAAAACAAATGTTAATATGGGTCTTGAGTTTGGGAACAGCAAGATTTCCAAAGAGCATTTTCTATGATAGCAAACAAGTTTTCTGTAGACGTTTCTAATAAAAGCAAGAGAATCCAGCCACAAAAAGCATCTCTCAACTCCTGACTAGAAGGTCGTGGACATCAAGTAAGGCCGTTCTACTGCCAAGTCAATATCACATAGAATGTTTCCTACAGCAAATACTGCGGTGTGGGTCTACCATAATAAGATGAAGGGGCCATCAAGGAGTGTCCACTCAGGCAAATGGGGATGAGCTGGACTGATTGTGGGTCTGTCTCTTCACAGTGCAACTGTCAGGTGACAAGTGAGTAGCCGTGTGGCTCTTAGAGAGAAGGAGGGGTCAGTGACCTGAACACTCTGCCTGGCGCTGCTTGTGTAAAGGCAGGGCCTTTGTTCTTACAGTTGGTGCTCACATCTCTGATATAATGCTATCTAAGTAGTAAAACAAACAGTGTCTTAGGAAGCCAAAGGGCAGTTTGGGCTTAAGGGTTAATGTGATTCCATTGGAAGTCTGGTTAAAATTTAAATAAACTTTTCCTCGGGTCCAAGGAGCAGACCACTGGAGCTGTGGCAGAAAGGCAAACAAGGGCTTCCCATGGTTTTAGCCTTAGTTCGCAGTTCAGTCCAGGGCTTGCAAAAGCATCCAGTTTCTGCAAGCTCTCTACACAGTCTAGGAAGTGACCTGGATGATGCCATTTTTTTTTCCTTTCTGAAGCCACATTTCACAGAATATAGACATCAATGGCAGATGGGATCAGATGTAAAGCAGGCTCCTCCCAAGGACGTTGGAGCTTGTCTGAATTCATTGAGTCTTGTAGACCATCTCAGCAAACACCATTCAAGTACATAAGAAGTCATAAGAACCCCTGTTCTTGCTCCCCAAAATTACTTTTCATATAAGTTCCTGGCGATGGGCAGCTTTTGGGAGTGTGGGAGGCCTGTGACCCATCAGCAGGGTCATTCAATGGAAACCAACTGAATCTCACGTGCATGGTTTATTCCCTCTCCAGGCACCTGTTAAAAATGAACAAGAGCAGCTCTGACTTGGAAAAAGTGAGCCAGAGTTCTGCAGAAAGCCTCAGCCCGTCCTTCAGAGGGGCTCACGTCAGCTTCACCACGGGCTCCACGGACAGCCTTGCCTCAGACTCCAGGACCTGCAGCGATGGAGGTAACACAGACAGGCTTACAGTCTGCAGGGTCTGCAAACCAGACCTGAGTCAGTTGCCAGGATTTGAAAGGCCAAGCAAGACCCTTTAGTCCGGTGCTACTTTGTTCAGGAAGTAGGCCCTACCCAGGAACTGGTGACCTTCATCCCTCATGAATACACAACAAGCTACCTCATTTTATCACTTTCTGTAATTAGAAGTGACAGGGCTTGGTGACAAGGTAAAAAGAGGGCTACAATCAAGTACTTGTTGAGTGTTGGCCATATATGGTTCTCCCTGTCCACTGGGGTCCCTGGAACCTCAGATGTCTAGGTGTCTCATTTACATGCATACACATGTATGCATATATGTACACAATAGATGTTTACACAAATGCTTGCTAAACAAAACGTGAAGGCTTTATAAGGTTGCTACTCACCCCTATTCTATAATAACTATAATATGTGGCTATGTCCTGTTAGGCATATTCCTAAAAAGGAACTTGAGGTTTTCTGCACTTGTGGATTTCGTGGTAGTGTTTATGATCTCTCAGCCCTTGGGTATGCTCTCTGTGTTTCATCATCTCCTGCTCTTCTCCTAGCTGCCTTAACATGTTAGGTTTACACATGTGATGCCATGACTTCCTCATACCATGGAAATACTTTTTCGCAAAGGGCATTTTGGGGGAATAGGACCCCAGGGAACATTTCTGTCTGCAAATAATGGATTATAAATTTTCCAATGATAAAGTCCTGCTAGCTCTTACTCGAAAACAGGAACTGTATTCGTCTGGATTTGGGGGAAATGTAGCAAAAACAAGAATGTATTTTTCTGTAGCTCTTCTGGACTCTAATCTCCTTCCTTTCCCCATCCTGCTGTGCAAAATTTCAGTGAGGCAGATTATTCCCTAAAGACCTGGGTATCTGAGCCAGGCACCCATGCCAGCAAGCTCCAGCTCACTCTCTTGAGAATCACGACCAGTTCTAAGAGGGCTATCTACAATGCACCCCTCCCTCAGCCACTGCATGGATGGTATCGTGAGAACTGGACTATTTATGATGTCTGTCCTCAGAGCTGGGAAAGATGAGATTAAGACATGTATGACACATGGATGGATGGGGTCAGACAGGAAATCAGGTTGCCCCAGAACATGAGAGCGTCTAGAGTGAATGTCGAGGGAGGATTCCAGAAAGCTTTTTTGAGAAGATGGGTGAGGTTAGACATGAGGATGCAGAAGGGAAGGATCAGAAGATTTCCCAGGGCACTAAATGGTCAAGAGGAGCCAAAGGCACGGAGAAGTGTTGCTGGGAAAAGGAGAGCAGCTTGATGTACTGTTCTGGGTACAGGTGAGGGGAGCTGCACTGCATAGCGCAAGGCATTCAGAAGTCATGTGTAGAACAGGATACAGAGCCACCTGCATCTGGGGAGAACTGCTGTGGCACCCAGAGCTACACAGAGAAACTCTGGAAAAAAACCAACACCTCTCCCTCAAATAAATATACTTCAAACCTGTTGAAAAATTTTAAGTAGGAGTTTATCTAAATTTTAAAGTAACAAAATGCTGTTTTTATATCATTGTAAAAATTTCCACTTTATATCTCTATCAGACCTCATATCCCTCCTCGTACATGCACTAGGACATTTTGTCTGTGAGGGCAGTTTGTTAAGCAGAGTCAGGGGAAAGCGGTCTCAGTAGTTGTTTAGAATGCGCTTGGCTCAGGAAGGACAAATGCAATTGTAGGGTCGTGTCTGTTGTGGAGAATGGATGGATGACTGTGACGGTGAAGTCATGACGGTGAAGGCCTGCAGAAGACTCTTCGGCTCTAAGTGGCCCCCTTTAACTATACAAACATAAAGCTGAGGCTGGTGGTACAGACCTACAATCCTAGCACTTGCCTGGCAGCAGGAACATGAGGAGTGCAGTCATCGGAGGCAGTGATTGGAATCCAGGCCAGCCTCGTGTATAAGAGACGATGACTCAAAACAACTACAAAAACCCAAATAAACACAGACTTATTGTCATACTAAGATCACTTCCCTCTTTGATTTCATTGAGTGATTCAACAGAGGTTAGAATTTGGTGTTTAACGGAAGCCACCAGCATGGCTAACAGAGAGACAGAGAGCTCTTAACGATGCAGTGGACGGTAGAACCTCACCTGACACAAAAATCAGACCTGCATTGCTGACTCTTACTGTATAGCTAGCAAGCCGGATCTAAAACAACGTAACTAGATACTATGGCATTAATGAGCTTGTTTTTCTCCACAATAATGCCAGTAAGTTTCAAAAGAAAACATGCATGTGTGTGTGGGCGGGGGCGGGGGTGTTTGTATGCATACTCTGTCATTCATTTGATAGATGTTTGTTATAAACAGTGTGCTGGGTACAATTCCAGATGCCTGGTCTTCACAGGGCACATGGCTAGTTCCACCTGTGCAGTAAGCGCTGTGGCGAGACAGCAAGCCCGGAAGGGGGCGGGGAGGGGTAGGAACGCCTGTCAAGGCGAGAGACGGAAGTCCACAAAGATTAGACTGTAGTCAGAATGAGTGACAGCCTGACCTTCAGCTAGCACTTGTCACCTCCAGCTCTACAAAAAGGAGGTCATATTTTCCAAGAAAAAATCGTCAAAAGGCCACCGGCAACTGTCAACCTAAATCGAATGTATGCTCGATTAGACAGGCTTATTAGATCGCTAGATCTTAAATCCATAGGTTCAGCCTAATATGTTACATAAGTAACTGTCCTATATGTGCCCCAGTCCATCAAGATACCCCGGGAGATGTTCCTAAAGGACAGGTGTTTGTCCCAGAGGAAACTATATTCTGTTTCAATTATTTCCCTCAGTATCCTGAGCTACCCTGTCAGCAAAGAGGCTTGGTTTCAAATGGTTTTCTTTAAGCTGAGTTTTAAGCTATTACTTTAGTAAGTCATATGTATCTATGGTTAAATATTAACCAACACAGAGAGGTAGCAATAAAAAGTCTCTCTCCCGACACCCATCCCATTGCCCACCGACACTTTGAACACTTTTCCTGTGTCATTATGAATCTCTCAAGTGTCCTAAAATTCAGTTGTATACTCTTTTTGTGCTTGAAGTCTTCCAGTCAGACCTTTAGCATGACTCAGTTTTTAAAGTCCCTGTATTGTTTTTCATTGTGAGCCACCTTTTAAACCCTTTACTTACCAATCCCTTGTTTATGTTGTTCTGTTAGAAAACTAAAGAAGGATCTAGACACTGGGGAGATGTGGTTAGAATACCTGAGATAAATTCTTAGAAGAAGTAGAGTTTGGGCATTAAAACGTGGATGTATTTCAAGTAGTTATCCTCAATTTGTCCTCTAAAAGTGTCAGCTTACCGTTCTACCAGCAATGAAAAATGATTTGAATGAAGTTTTAGTTTAGCTACCTAAGAAGAAGAAAGTCCTCACTGGTTGTGTCACAGAGGTGAAAGACCCAACCCCCAGAGCCTTAGCTGGTGTGCTGGCTGGCAGAGGAGGCAGGGGGGCTGTCTTCCAAATGGAGACTTGTCTTTCCCTCCATGCAAACCACATTGTCGCCTGCAGGGAATGATCGAATGGTCTTGAGGGATTCCTCCCAAATGCCACATTTTCCAGCCAGCTGCAAAATGCTAATAACAGGCTTCCACTTCAAGCCACATTGATCTTCCTGGAAAATAGCAAGGCGTCCCTTTAAAAGGAGTGCTCCACTTTGCCCCTTTATTTTTCCATATGCTATGGAGAGTCTTCAGATTCTGGAGCCAAAAGAGAAGACGCACAACTTCCCTTTGGGAAGCCGTGAGGCTGGAGAACCGCTGACCCCCTCCCCACCTTACCCATTGGTTGGCAGAAACCTCCCAGACTGCCTCTTCCTGCATGCCCAGGTGCCAACACAGGTGGTTTGGCTGTACTTTCCTCATCTAATGAGGGATCAAACTGCCCCAGGGTCTGGGCAGAGTTTCCCCCATTTGATTTGTTTCTAATATCTTACATTTCATAGATGCTTACGGAATATTAACTGATGGGGCTGGAGAGATGGCTCAGCCATTAAAGGCTAGGCTCACAACCAAAACTGTAAGGAATATTAACTGACACGTGGGCAAATCTATGAAGCTGTTTGCTCAAGTGTCAGTCCATAGACTATTCCAAGTTTTGCACATGCAAACACACACACACACACACACACACACACATTCAGCTGGCATCGCCTCACCCATAGTTGGGGCAGTGGCTAACACACATGTGCAGATCTTGCAAGGGTCTGTTCCTTCTGCCTCCATGCTTGCTTGCTCCAGCCTGGCTACAGGCAGAGAACGGTGCACAGAAGAGCTGAATGGTGCTCACTCATACGGCTCAAAACAGGGCTGACCACTTCCTCTGTAAGCCCAGCTCTCATTTGGCTGTGGGGACAGTGGAAGTACCTATTAAGCCCAGCAAAAAGAGGAGACTCTGTCATAAGGTAGACCTCACGCTACCACATTTGAACTTTTGCCCTACGTTCTGAGTGGGGAACTAACCTGTTTTACCCAGCCGTTGAAATTCTGGCTCCTTCTTTGTTTTCTAAATATAAAGATACCAAACCAGTATACATCCTCCCTCCGCCTTTGTGAGACCCACCCAGCATGCCACAGGTGATGCTTCCCACTAGAGGAGTCTTCCTCTAACCGGTGCTGAGTGTATGCTTTGTGTGGAATGGGAGACTGGAAGGAAAACTTGGAAAATGGTGTTCGGAACCCTTTGTCTTGGTTCGTATGTAAAGTTACTCAGCCGGGAACTTGGATCAGCATTAGAGTGTTTGCCTAGTTCCCAGAAGTTTTTCTCAGTCTTTCCTTACTGCTCACTGTAAGCCAGAATTTGGAGACAGTGGTCCAATACCATCATAAAACCAGGATATATAGTAGAATTAATTTCGTGTGCCATTGAATTTGAGTCTTTCTGGCCATTGGCCAAAGTTATTCAGGATTTCTTTTTAGGCAGGTTTCCTGGACCGATGGCTTACCTGTGAATTTTGAAAGCATTTTGGATGTCGGGGGAGGCTTGTCTTCTCCAGGCTTCTCTGGGTGCAGAAGGTAGCAGCTGCTGCAAACAGGCAGATGCAGACAGCAGCAGCAGCTGCTGTAAATGGGCACTTAAGCAGGCAGCATGCATTCAAAGGCTGTTTGCCCCGGGGCAGGGTTGAAGAACTAGTTCTCCTAGAATCAAGAAATTTCAGAGTCACCCTGGAGTGACAGCTCCATCAAATGCTAGAGAAATGTGTTCCATGTAGAAGGTCACATTTTAACATCCATTTCCAGGTAGCTCCAGGGTATCCACACTGGAGAGATGATAGTTCCCTGAGTTGCCTGCAGCTGCCTTCTCGTGGATTGTGGTTCATATACCTGGTTGCACAAGTATAGGCATGGGCACAAGTGTGCACATTTGTGTAAAGGTCAGAGAACAACCTCAAGTGTCATCCACATTTTGCCCTTGTTATTGTTTAATGGTGTAAGGCATGCTCTCATTGACCTGAAACTGACAAAGTAGCCGCGATGGACAAGCCTTGGGGAATCTGCCTGTCTCCCTTTCTCAACACTAGTGATGGAATTTCAAGCTTGTACCACCATGCTTTTATTTTTCCATGGGTTCTGGAGCTCAAACTCAGGTCTCTTTACCACATAAGCTGTTTCTCTAGACCCCTTTTCATTAAAAAAATAAATAAACCTTTATATATATAATATATATAATTATATATATTATATATATATATAATGCCCAGTTGGGTACACGAAATCCACACTTCAAGTGAGCCACCTGCTTTGTGGGACTTCATGCTTGTCCCTCTGCTGGGCAGGTGTGTGACACAGGAGCACTGCTGTAGAGCCTCCCTCTGATTAGCTGGGACATCATTCACACATTCGCAGCATCTAAGAAATTAAATCTAGTTAACCAGCCTGCGTGTTAATCCCCAGAGACGTCCCTGTTCTGACACCGAGTACTCCTTACCAGGGCCCCAAGCAGCTGTAGGATTTAGAGCCAATCAAGACTGCCCGCCAACTCGGTTCCCACAGGATTGTCGTGAGAACACAGAACGGGGTGGGGGGCATAAAGGGAGGTCTCCCTCTCAGCTGCCTGAACACTGGTTTTGCACAGGGCCTGGAACTGACATTCTGATTCTCCTTGACCATCTAGGGAATGAGTGAGATGGATTAGAATCCCCTCCCCCCATCGTTCCTGATTAGAAAGTTGGCCAGTCTCCAGTGTAGGGACTGGAGATGGAGAGAGGAATGATACAAGCAAGATAGCCATCTGCCTAGAGATTGTATAGGGGTTTCTGAGGCGGTTTTCAGACAAAACACATGTTCAGGAGGTTGAAATGGAGAGTGGCTGAAATCATAGATCATTAGTGATGGAATTCCAAATGGTATAATCCAGGCCTTCCTTCCTTTCTTCCTTTCTTCCTTCCTTTCTTCCTTCCTTCCTTCCTTCTTTTTTCCTTTCTCTCTCTCTCTTATTTTCTTTCTTTCTTTCCTTTTTTTTAAATGGGGGTAACTCATCTGGATATGACTAGTTTATTCCTGTCATTTTCCCTCAATCCCAAGTAAAAGCATAAACGGGGCATGTTGGTGACATTAAAGATGAGGACAGAACCAGTCAAGCTTGGGAAATCAGAACAACGCTTAAAGAAGGGACAAGCCTAGACACTGACCCTGTTGGCAGTCCCACCGGTACCTTGAACATGGCATGGGAAAGGGACCCTGTCTCTGGGCTGTGACCCTGGAGGCACTGATCTGGGCCCGAGCCCAGTGTTCAGATTTCACTCCACTGCCACCCTTCACTTCCAGCCCTTGCCCTGGTGATGATACATTGGCTATTTTCTGATACCCAGAAGGCAAAGTGATGAGGATATAGCTGTATCTAAAGCACCTGCCTTCTGGCTCCTGAACACAGGGATTCACTCACTCCAGCAGCCATCTGGGCTTGAGGAGCCTCATAAGCAGATGTCATGCCCCTGGCTTTTTTATCCGGGGTATGAGGAAGCAACCATCCTCCTCCCTCCGCTTCTCCTGCTATCATGGAGAGGAAATGAATCATCTGTAAACTTTGTCCTCATTACTGACCCAGTCCATGGGAACAGAGCCACTTTCTTGGGGAACAGGAGACGGGAGACCTGAGGACCCCAGGTTTACAGAGTCCAGTATGGTCTCCCTGCCTCATGCTGGCTGGTTCTGGAACACTGTCTGCTGTGACTACAAGGGGAGAATTCCTAGATATGAAAAGCCTGTGCGTCCCCACTGTGCCACAACTGCTTGTTATTAACCCGAGCCTCCTGGAAGAAACATAAATCATTCACGTAGCCTTACTGGCAGAACACCCAATACTCCCACCCTCACAAGCCTGCCTGTTAGCTAAGCAGGGCCAGGCGGGACGGACAGCTGCTGTGATCCTGATAAACTGTGTGTGTATGATAAACCAGGAAGCAAGGGCAAAAGCCACCGCAGGCTGGGACAGGGCAAGGAGGACAGTGTGCCACCCCCCTGTCTTCCTGTTTGGTTTTCTTTTTTTGTCTTGAGATAGGGCCTTGTAGAGCCCAGGCTAGCCTTGAACTCAATATGTAGCTAAAAATGATTTTGAATTTCTGATCTTTCTGATTTCTAAAATTTCCCCAGACTTGGCTTCTCTGACATCAGAAAGGTATTTGTGAAAGCCCAAAGAACTGTACATGAAAACACAGAGATCTGGACTAGAGAGACGGCACCATCATTAGAGTGTTTGCTATGCTATGCAAGCATGACGACTCACGCTCCAGATCCCATGTTAAAGTATATACGTATACATACATACATACATACATACATACATACACACACACACATACACACACATACATACCAGGTGTGGTGACACCATCTATGATCCTGGTGCCGGGGAAACAGAGATAGTTTCATCTCTAGGGCTTACTGCCCAGGGTGCTGCTCACCCTAATGGGTGAGCCTACTGCCAATAAGAGACCCTTTCTCAAAAAGCAGGGTGGATGGCACCTGAGAAATGACATCCAAGGTTAACCTCTGGCTTCCACATTCACACACACACACATGTGTACTTGTGCATACATGTATAAACACACACACACACACACACAAACACAGACATCGAAGATGGGAAGGAGGCACACTTTACCCTAGTAAATAATACTTCCTTAAACCCGACTTTTCAGGAAGAGGACTCGAGTCACGGAAGTTCCAGGCGTTCAAGCTTACTATTGCTGCTACAGCGTTGTTTGCGAAGCTTTAGAATCACTTAAGTGTCTTGTCAAGAGACAGCTAGTTAAATTGTGATGCTTACCAATAACTTGTTGTGACTCCATTATGGAGAAAAATGAAGTAGGCTAACTCTCCCCAAGACGTGACAGATAAGTAGTAGTTCAAAGACGACTCCCGTGCCTGAAGGTTCACTTGGGTTATTAGAACAATGCATGATCAAAGTCCTCTGATCAAAGGTACTTACTTAATGCTGAGGGGAAAACACAAGGGAGACCTACCTGTCAATCCCTCCCATTCATGTCATTTGCATTCTGTCCTCTGTGTATATACCCTTTAGGGAAACAGAAAAGAAATACAATAAAATGAATTGCTTTGACCGATTGAAAAAAGATCCTACAGCACCTGAACCAGTGGCATTGATCTCTAGTCTGATGATTTCTGCATTTTTTTTTCAGGTCCATCATATGAACCCGCCCACTCACCCACCATCAGCGGGAAAAAACTCTTTGCTCCTGTCCCTTTTCCATCGGGCTCCACAGAGGATGTATCTCCCAGTGGTCCTGCGCAGCCTCCCCCTCTGCCCCAGAAAAAGATAGTGAGCCGTGCAGCCTCATCCCCTGATGGCTTCTTCTGGACCCAAGGCTCCCCTAAACCACGGACAGCAAGCCCCAAGCTGAACGTAAGCCACTCAGAAACCAATGTCTGTGTCCACGACGAGCTTCTTTTTAGCTATTCCTTAAACTCTGGAGACGCCGCCCACCATGTCTTCTCCTCTTCTGAGCCTCTGGAGAAAGCTTTCAAAGGCAGTGGCCCCTGGGGTCCAGCTCTGGGCCTAGCAGGCAGCAAGGGCGGCTGTGGGAGCCCCGGTCTCCAGTGCAGAACGGCCGCTTCCGCTTCCGCTTCATCTTCCCAGCTCAGCGTGTCCAGCCAGGCCTCCTCCAGCAGCACCCAGCTTCAGCTGCACAGCCTCTTGAGTAGCATCAGCAGCAAGGAAGGCACCTATGCCAAGCTGGGAGGCCTCTACACACAGTCGCTGGCCCGCCTGGTGACCAAGTGTGAAGACCTCTTCATGGGTGGCCAGAAGAAGGAGCTGCGCTTCAATGAGAATAACTGGTCACTCTTCAAGCTGACGTGCAACAAGCCGTGCTGTGACTCGGGGGATGCGATTTACTACTGCGCCACCTGCTCCGAAGACCCTGGCAGCACCTATGCTGTGAAAGTAGGTACCACCCCCTTCCATTCTGTGGTCTGATGAGCCGATCTTGGCACGTCATTCCGCCTCTCCAAGCTTTTGGAAGCGGGCTAGTTAGCAAGCTTCCCTTTATACTTGGGACTTGGTGATACCTCTGTCTCTGTCTCTGTCTCTGTCTCTGTCTCTGTCTCTGTCTCTGTCTCTGTCTCTCTGTGTGTGTCTCTTTCTCTCTGTGTCTCTCTGTCTCTCTCTCACTCTCTGTCTGTCTCTGTCTGTCTCTGTCTCTCTCTCTCTGTCTGTCTCTGTCTGTCTCTGTCTCTGTCTCTGTCTCTGTCTCTGTCTCTCTCTCTCTCTCTCTCTCTCTCTCTCTCTCTCTCTGTGCCTGGCTCTGGGAAGTATCACCATGAGGTTTGCGGCATGAATCTAAGATGTGGTCTGTGCTCTTATGTTTGTGGTCCAGTTGCAATAGGAAAACAACTTGTAATGCATCAGGGTTCAGTCAAGTATTCCCCAGGTTTTTACTCTCTGCTAGGTATTTCACAAAGATCTGAAGACAGAGGTGTAAACATGAGATTCCTTACGGAGTGTATAATCCATTACAAGACAGGGACCATTAAGGTGCCTGCTCTTCCAAGTGTTGGAGGCAGGAGCATTAGACTTAGACATTGTCCTGAACCATGTAGGTAATGGTAACATTTGCTCAGTATTTACTGTTACAATTATAGTCTCAGCTGGTGGATTAGTTACCTATGCCACTGGAGTGAATCTTACTTTAGATTTTCCTTTGAAGTAGCTTGTGGTACCACCAGAAAGGAAAGACTGAGAGCCTGGTGAATATGTTCGCAGGAGCTCTGTACACTTAGAAGCCACCCCTCTGTAATGTGGGTACTGGGACAGCTACTAGTAAGTTCCATGTAGTTATACAGATACATAGGATCACAAAAGACTTGGATCAGCTCATGGCCCAGAGAATAGACACTGACAGCAAGAAAACACTGCTAGGCCTGGTGATCCCATCTACTCAGGAGGCTGAAATAGGAGGATCCAAAGTTCACAGTCTGCCTGGGCCACACAGGGAGCTCAAGGCCAATCTGGGTAAGTCAACCAGACTCTCTTAAAATAAATGGGCTCCTGGGGTGTGACTCAATAATAGAGCACTTGCTTGGCATATGTGAGCGCCCTGCTTTAGTCATCAGTGCCACAGGACATGAAGAGACAAGAGGGAGGGAAGGGGAGGGAGAAGGCAACTGTCCCAGAGAAGCTTCTATGTGACGTAAGTTCTTGGACTCCACTGCCCCTTCATGTTTAAACCTAGAAGCTGACTTCCGGGTGAGCTAAACTTCATGCTCACTCCTCCCCCCTACCCCTTACCCACCCAGCACCCTCCCTAGCCAAAGTTAAAAGAAAAGGGCCCATAGTTTCTTTTTCTGTTGGGATGGCTGTATCCATTATATTTACTTCTTGACTTACGCTGAAGCTGTGTCCCCAAATACTCATTATAAGTTGCAGACATGGGAAGTTGAAAATGCATTGAATACTCTACCTTAATGCCTGCCTCAGCAACTCAGCCAGCGTGGAGTTGATATTGTTTCCCATCGTGACTAGCAGTGTTTCTTACTGCCCCTGCCCCACCACAAGGAAGAATCTCCCTGCACCTTGCCAACTGACGGAAAGGGCCACTGTGAAACACAGTTGCTACTGAGTTTGTCTTTTCCACTTTTGCACCGTCATCAAGTAGAGAAGACAGTCATACTTGTAACTGTTTGCTGTCGGGGTGATTGGAAAACGATCTGAATGAGATGAACTAAATGCCCCAGGTTGCCATGTGGACTCCCGGAGGGGAGAGCATGGAGGGGAGTTTAGATGTTCAGTGAGTGTGAGAACTTGGTATGTGACTTGTCCTCCGGTCCTTGGCCCTGTTTTCTGCTCATGAGCTTCCGTTACTCTCAACCTGGCTTCCTGGTGCTGACCCTGGAGATCTCATGTAGTCTTAAGAAACTTAATTCAAAGAAAGTGATGGGATCACACGGCAAGAACCAAGGGAGGGCCTAACACCGAATTCAAACCTTAGGTAGGGAATCTTTCCCTATCTGTGAGTGATTGTGCCAAGTAGCTTAGGATCTAGAGCCAGTATTCCCCAATACATAGCAAAAAGTTCAGCCTTCCCAAAGGATAGTAGAAATAAGCATTGCCCCTTGTTGCATTAAGTGTTTAAGCCAGGGGACCAGAGAGGTTAAGAGCACTGACTGCTCTTCCAGAGGTCCTGAATTCAATTCCCAGCACCCACATGGTGACTCACATGGGATCTGTCTGATTCCCTCTTCTGGTGTAAAGGTGTGCACATAGATTGAGCACTCATATGCATAAAACAAATAAATAAATCTTTAAAAAAAAAAGCCAGGCAGTGGTGGCGCACGCCTTTAATCCCAGCACTCAGGAGGCAGAGGCAGACGGATCTCTGTGAGTTCGAGGCCGGGCTGGACCAACAGCCTCCAAAACAATACAGAGAAACCCTGTCTCATAAAACCAAAAAAAGAAAAAAGAAAAAGAGTTTAAGCCAGGAGGAAGCCTGAAGATAAGCCTTGATTTCCAATAAAGAGGGTCCCAGAGGGTTCCTATTTGACTTCCCTGGAGAAGTGGTAGTTCATTGAACCATCTGTAAAACAAAATTTGGAGAACAGTATCAAATACTCATGATACGATACTGTAATTGGGGAAGGTGTTATGACTCTGTAAGTATGCCTGGTCTAGCGATGGGGGCGGGGAGCTGTGAGCATCGCTTGGCACGTGCAGCTGTTGCACTTCATTAGCTCTGCAGTCTAGACGGAATACCGTCATCTGAGAGAGCCCACAGGAGGCGGAGCCGGGCTCCTTCCCAGCCGCTGCCTGCGTGTCCCTGAGCTCAGTTCTTCTGTGCATGTTAAGCAGGAAGCTGACACTGAAATTAAATGCAGCATTGCTTCTGAATTCCCAGTGAACAATGGCAAATGAGCACCTGCTTGCTCCTGACTCTGGAACCTCCAATCACAGGTTCATTGACCCCACAACATTGAGATATAAACTGGCTCTTAGAGCCTGACTCTGTGAACATGTAGTGAAAGAGGAAAAAATAATTGGGGGGGGGCTTGTTGAAGCTGTTTCCCAGCCAAGTTCATAATTAGGGACCTATGAACCGTTGGGCCTGTTTTTATTTATTTATATAATGCTTAGTAGACACAACTTAGTCCAGATTGTCACCCATCAGTGAGGCTCTGGTTCAGAAGCTTAAAACACAACACAGTTTGCACAAAGTTTGATATCTGAGCTGAGTCCAAGGTCTTCAGAAAGCTCCAGGGCTAAAAACCAAGGACAGGGTCCCCTGGAAATGGGACAGGTGGCAGAGGAGGAGGTAGGGATGAAGGTCACTGTCCGCTCCTCCATTCCTCAGTCTCCATCTCACACTGTAGAAGGATCCTGGGACACTCCACCTTGGACTGGGAGGGGGCTGGTTAGCTGTTACTGGAGCAGCTCCCTCTAATGGAGGGGGTGACTGTGATGTGGGCCTTTCTCGAGGCCCTGCTCGCTGATTTTGTGATGCATCCAGTCAGTCACTGTTTGCCCAGATCCTTCATTTACATCTCTGTGTAAAATGTCAGAGGCTCAACTGGGGCTCTGGGCCCCTGTGTTTTCTGAGCTGGAGCCTGAAGGAAAGGCAGCCTGGCAGCTGCTCAGTTAGGGGCTGGAGAGAACTTGCAAACCAGCTCTGGATAGCTCTGCCCCACCACAGGGCTACAGACATAATGGCAAGAGCAGTCACCATAGCAACCCTTTCATTGCAGGCTCACCACGGGCCAGGCTTGGTGCCCAAAGCCATACCTGTATCATTTAAGCTAATCCTCAGGAGCCGCCACTGTCCCAGTTAAAAGCACAAAGAAAACAGAATGAGAGATAAATGCCACCGATCCTCAGTGTTGTTGCTTCCGTATTTGCCACATAATCTGCCCACTGAAATTCATTTGTAACCCACAGATCAATACTCAAAGCGTTTTCCCATCCTTTGTGGACGCGTGCAGAGCGGGGAAAATGGGGATGGCCTAGTGTGAGTGTTTGCAGTTGGTGGGGAATCGGGATACACTCTGCATCTGCTTTCTGTTCCAACCAAAAGCACGTGCCACTGTTGAGTATACTCAGTGCCTCCCTTTTTAAGGTTTTTGTGCTTTTCATCATGGTCAGTGTTGTTCATGAGTTTGATGTTTAAATCCTTTCCCCTCAAGTGTAATGCTAAAGGATTGTTAGTGTTCCTAAGCGGGGAGCCCATGATGGGACGTACAGAGACAATATGGGTTATATAGCGTGTTAGCTGTGAATTCACTGTCAACAGTGCATATTAGATAAGGTCTCTGTAAACAGAAATGTGTACAAGACAAAGTCACCTAGCCATCAGCTCTTGAAAAATACTGTGACCAGAATCACTAAAACCTTACCCTGTATCTATTGGAGCGTGTCTTGTTCCATATTTGCCAATTCTGTATTTGAAGCTCCTTTATAGACCGCAACTACTTCAGAAAAAACTCTCCTGCTGCTTGTCAAAGGTTGCTGAGTTGACATTTAAAATGCCCACATCTTCTCTTTCTCTGGGCATTTGACTTAGAGAACACTTACCAGTCGGGTAGTTTCAACTCCCAAAGCCTCAGTCTCCCCTCTGTTAGAGAATCTATTGCATTGAGCTAAGTAGGGTTTAAGAAGACACTGTGTGAGGGTCGCACCAGTGACACAGTGCCCAACACACAAAATAGTCCAGTGTGTGTCTGCTGTGCATGAAGAGTGAAGACCACACACACACACACCTGTCTCCTGAGAGCTTGACAGACAGTGGCTGGTCAGTCACTGAGTATCGATAGGCAAGGCTTCTTTGTGGACCTAGCTCCAGCAATTTCCTTTCATTTAAAAGTCATACAAGGCCAAAGAGCTGGATCAGCTGGTAAAAGCATTTTCTGTGCAAGCCTTACAACGTGAGTGAGAGCCCCAGAGCCCACTGTGGAAGGAGAGAGCCAATTAGGGGAAGTTGTCCTTTGATACCCCCACCTCTCCCACACACACACAGAATCTTCCCCTCCTTGCACACAAGTATCATCATAATAAAAATAATAAAAACATTCAACTTAATAAATGAAGAGATTCCAGAGGAACGTCTAAAAGCAGTATGACTGGGCATGTTGCAATGAGACCGTGAGGTAACATCCTTTACACATGGATTCCAAATCGGTTTTATTAGTATAATAGGGAACAGTGTCTGGTGTGGACATACTTTCCCCTTATTCCAAGTCTGCCTCCACCATAGAGAGATTAGTGCATTAATGTGTTGCCCACTCCCTGCTTAGCTTTATAAAAATTAAAACAAAAACTTATTCAGAGGCTGCATGAACTCTTTGATTCACGATTCCATTCTGTAAGGTTTATGTAGCCACAATAGAAGTAAATGCCTGTAGAAGGTACATGCAAGCAAACTTCAGAAAGGTTGGCCCTAAAGTCTTGTGGCACCTCACAAACACCGTTGTGATCAGTCCTGGGCTGCTGGCATTTCCTAATTGGTAGAGAGAAGATACCTTTCCTCCCCTCTGGGCAGCACTGCATGAAAAGCAGAAGACGAGACAGAAACACAGAGAGAGAAAGCATCTTCAGTCCTTCCCGTGTCGTTATACAAGGAAACTGAGGCCCAAAAGGACCTCCTGGGCTGGCTTAAGAATCTCCAGTTGAGTTGGTTTCCATGACAATTTTTAGCTTTCCTCTGGTGGCTATCGTTTTTTTAGCTGTGTGGATCCCCCCGGGCACCCTCCCACAGGGGTGTTGGAGATAATCAATCTTGTTTATTCCTGCTTTCAGTTCTGAGGATGTCCTCCAGCCCTGTGGGCTCTATTTTTTGCTGCGGCTCTGCCTTAGAGCAGAGTACAGCTTCCTGCACTGAGCTGCCCAGACAGCCCTTAGGTGGTTTTAGGGAGCAGGCATTGCATATTTACCTAGATCTAGGGAGCAAGGCAACCGAGAGCATGGCCAAGTTCTAAATGTGCGGGAACACCGTGGTCCCTGGAGTTCCCTCACAGCGAAGCAACACCCTGCTTTCACACGCTTTTTCACATGACAAGGATGGGGAGTCAGACTGAGTTCTGTGGAAACTGGTGGGCTTCGTGAGGCTCTATCGTGGTCACTCTGTGGACAAAGAGACATCTTACTCTTGTTCCGCGGTGCCCCTGAAGCACCATGGGCTTGATTATTTTCTTCCGTGGCAACACTTCCGGTGTGGCAGAAAAGATGGGGGTCCGCTGCTTAAACTGAAGTCTCAGAAATGCGGTCATATTTTTCTTCCATATATTTCTAGAATTTGAATGCTTTAGCACTAATAAGTCTTTGTGAGCCCCTTTATGTGATTTTTTTCCTTTTTAATGTATGATATGAGGTAAAGGAGCTGTCTACCTCTTTGTACGATATCAAATGTCCTGGCATTTGTTTCACAGAACCACGGATCCCACTCCTAACTTTGCTTTTCCTTCTCTCCACAGATCTGCAAAACCCCAGAACCCAAATCAGCCTCCTACTGTAGCCCGTCTGTGCCCGTACACTTCAACATCCAGCAAGACTGCGGCCACTTTGTCGCCTCTGTGCCCTCCAGCATGCTCGCTTCCCCGGACACATCCAGCAAGGACCCAGCGCCCGCTGCAGCCTCACATTCCCCTTCCCAGGAGCAGGACTGTGTGGTGGTCATCACCCGGGAGGTGCCACACCAGACCGCCTCCGACTTTGTGCGGGACTCCACGGCCAGCCATCGGGCAGAGCCTGAGGTTTACGAGCGGCGGGTATGCTTCCTGCTTCTGCAGCTCTGCAACGGGCTGGAGCACCTGAAGGAGCACGGGATCATCCACCGAGACCTGTGTCTGGAGAACCTGCTGCTGGCTCACTGCAGCCCTCAGGGCTCCCCAGGACCCTCTGCCACTCCCACCACCACCACCACCACCACCACACCCCGATGCCCCTCGGCCACGCCCACAGCCACCGCTGCCTGCCAGGGAGGGCCTGGTGAAAAGCACCTGCCCAGGCTCATCATTAGCAACTTCCTGAAGGCCAAGCAGAAGCCAGGCGGTACCACCAACCTGCAACAGAAGAAGAGCCAGGCCCGGCTGGCCCCCGAGATCGTGTCTGCCTCCCAGTACCGCAAGTTTGATGAGTTCCAAACGGGCATCCTCATCTACGAGCTGCTCCACCAGCCCAACCCATTCGAGGTGCGGGCCCAGCTGCGGGAGCGCGATTACCGGCGGGAGGACCTACCCCCACTACCCACACTGTCCCTCTACTCTCCTGGCCTGCAGCAGCTGGCCCACCTGCTGCTCGAGGCCGACCCCATCAAGCGCATCCGAATAGGTGAGGCTAAGCGGGTGCTGCAGTGCCTGCTCTGGGGGCCCCGGCGGGAGCTGGTGGAGCAGCCGTGCAGCTCGGAGGAGGTGTTGTGTAACACTCTGAACAACTGGATCGACATGAAGCGAGCCCTGATGATGATGAAGTTTGCAGAGAAGGCGGTGGACCGCAGGCGGGGGGTGGAGCTGGAGGACTGGCTCTGCTGCCAGTACCTGGCCTCGGCAGAGCCCGGGGCCCTCCTACAGTCCCTGAAGCTCCTGCAACTTCTCTGAGCCTCCGGTCAGCCACTTCCGCCGCCGCGGCGGCCTTCCACGCCCGCCTTCCACGCCCGTCCCATGCCCTTTCCTTGCCTGCGTCCTGGTTACCCTGGGTAATGGTACAAATGACTGTGGTCCTTGGATGTAATATTTTATATATATACATATATAATATAAATATGAAAGACCGAGGGTGTCATTTCACACACGCCAGCCCCCTCTCCTCACAGAGCCCCCATCCCTCCACCACCGCCTGTGTAATTATGTACAGTTGCAGCTTCATGAAAGGCCCGACGGGATGAAGCTGAGCGCCTGCCTCGCCACCCCACAATGGAGTCTCCTCACCCTTTTGTCAAATTGTTATTTAAAAAACAATCTCCACAATAAAAGTCTTACATTATTGTTGTTTTTGTTATTTATTATTGTTTATTGATATTTTGGATTGCATCCAAGCAAAGCCCTTTTACCTGCAAGTGCTTGAGTGCGCTATACTCTTCGATGGCTAGAATCGATTATCCACCGCAGAGGAGTGCCGGCTGGCACGGCCCTCGGTCTTGCTCCTCTTACCAGGTATGGCAGCACTCCCCAGGAGTCTGGGTGTTTCGGGGTGTGTCAGTGTGGGTAAATGTTCCGTTTCTCTTCCCACCCAGCAGGCTGCTAGAAAGAATCCTTGGGTGGGATCCCAGAGGTTTGAAATGTAATCCTGCTGCTCCAAACCCATCTCCAGTTTGCCAAAGCTGTCAGGACTGTGTCCTTGGGAGACCTGGTTGAAAACAAAACCCACCTGCCTAGTTCAAAGGAAAGACCCTAACAGTCTTCCTAGAAGGTGTGTGGGCCACTAGAAGGACAAACAGACGCAAAGGACACACATAGCAGGTGTTTGCTGTGAGGCCTCTGCAAGCAGAGACAGAAGGGTACTGTTTCCTGTTGCATCAGTTCCTTGCCATTCCCGGGCTCATCCAAGCAAGGGAGCTTGGATGATGCCACAAGCAGCATCAGCCTCCCCAGGCAGGGAGAAGGAGAGGGGTGGCAAGCAGCACACTTCCCTGCCAGACAAGACTTGTGCAAGGATGGAATTCTGGGGTCTAACTGCCAGCAGGAGATCTTCATTGTAGTAGATGGATGGGTGGATGGATGGATGGATGGATGGATGGACGGACGGACGGACAGACGGATGGATGGACGGACGGATGGATAGATAGATAATCATTTAATGGATGGCCACAGTACTTGAGAGGCAGGGGTAGTTGGATCTCTGAACTGGAGGCCAGCCTGATCTACATGTCAAATTCCAGGTCAGCATGAGCTACATAGTAAAATTCTGTCTACAGAAACAAAACTCATCAAACTCATTTAACATGTACCGGTACCTGCTATCTACTGAAGCTGATATTATTGGTATGTCTTTTTTTAATGCACAGAAATAAGAGGCAGTAGATCTAATTAAGAGAATCAGAATCTGATTAACAGAGTTCGGTCTTTCTGATGCACACACTGATGACTCAAGGAGAAATATCTCCAAAGCCCTTGTATTTCTACCTGAGGACCCCACTGGTATCTGGTTCCTTGTTTACAGCTATGAACGATTTTTAAACACACACAGAAACCGTAAAATAATAGCTGTCCGGGGGACATGAGGGTGCGATTAGTAGCCAATCAGGTTGTCCCTTTCGGTACATTCACTTCGCTCCCTTGGCGAGCTCCGTCCTCTGGCCTCCGACACCATGTGAGCTCCATCCTCCGGCCTCCGCCACCATGGAAACACATCCATTTTTTTCCCTCACACTGGTGGTGAAAGTAGCTCCTGGGGTATCTTTATAACTTCACTTGTCACTTGAGCACTGAGGAAAGAACCGGCTCAAACTAGCTCTCCCTATGTCCTTGGAAGTCTAGAGCTCGGGACATGCAAACGGCGATTTTTCTGTAGATCCATCTAGATTGATGGAGCCATGTTCGTCTGCTGCGTGTTGCTGGGAATCTTCCAGGCAAAACCTCTGCCCTTGACGCTGTCTTCTGTTTTCTTGTCCTTTCTCTGGAAATAAATAAACAATGGAGAGGGCAGAAAGGAGCTCTGCCAGAGAGAGGCCTATAGGGTCGCCTGGAAGCACACACACGGCGGCATATTCGTATTCTCTGAGCTAATTGTATCTTTTTAATGTGCCAGCCGCCTCAAGAAAAGAAAGAAGTTGAATTTGTGAGGATGGTTTTAGTAACAAAATAAAGCAACAAGGGAAGGGGAGAGTGTGAAAAAGAATAAATGATGGCAATGAATTCTAGTTGGGAGGAATGGCACCAATTACACTTGCTTTTGGACTGCTCACCAGCCTCGCCTAGTAGAAGAAGGCACCCTCTGGCAGAATTCTTTCTTGTGTAATTTTTAGGAACTATTCACCAGGGGGAGCGAACCTTTGCCCAGCCCTTGGTTCTACAGGGGATTTGTCGAGGAGCCTTCGTTTTAAGACATGGAATAATTAATATCCTAGTAGCTGTTTGGAAAGGGAAAGAAAGAAAAAGCGTTTTTCTAAAATAAGGCAATTTCTTATATCTACCATGAATAAAGTCTAAGTGTGTGGGATTCAAGCCTCTTCCCAGCAAGGCAGGTCCCTGGCATAATTGTGACACCCAGTTGCAAATAAGTTTGGCAAATAGCTTCAGTCACAATACATTCTGAGGGTCACTAAAACTGGCCTTGTTCATGCTGAATTCACCAGGGTGTGCTGTTCCCTCTAGTTCTAAAGACAAGCAGAAACAACAGTTTTGTGTTTTAGGGCTATAGCACAGAAATACCCAGGATATGAGGACTTGGTACGCAGCTCCTGACTAGTTAGCACGTCCTCTGAGTGGAGCTTGTGCAAGAGGACAAGCTTAAGCTTTACAGAGCCCTTGGTTCACTCACCAACATAAAAAAAATTTCAATACAGTGAACCAAAGATTTTTAAAAACAGATCTCTGTGAGCTCACCTCCCTCTTTCCTCTTGGCTTGAAAACTAACTACTGGTATTTTTCTTCTCTTTTCTGAGTCAAGTCGCCCCCATATCTTTTGCACATATGCAATTTTTGCTGCTAATGGGCCTTCTCTAGTTTTGTGCTAAGAAGTGAAATCTTTTTTTTTTCTTCACCCAAATTCTTTCTGTAGGAGTTCCATCGCTTCACAGCAGAATCCTGAACACCCCTGCCAAAAGCAAGACAGGCACTTCAGGGGTTGTTTGTTTATCATAACACATGGCTTGGCTCTAAAAAGCCCAAGCTCTGCAGAGCTACAGTTACCACTTTATATAACACTTACTGCTTTTCAAGAGCCAAGGGTTGGAGAAAACGCGTGTAATGTACACATGAAAACGTGTATAATGTACACATGCACGCAAAATATTGTGAACATTTGGAAGAGGGAAGACCCATGTTATTCAATGACTTCTCTGAAATCTGTGCTTTAACCGCATTGCCAAAAGGGCTGGGGAGATGGCTCAATGGATGAAGAATTCACTATGAGAACATGAAAACCCGCATTGGGATCTCTACCAACCAGGTAAAAACCAGTCAGGCCAGCAGTACACTTGTGCTTGATAGGGTGAAGCAAACCAACCCCAAATACTTGCTTGCCAGCCAGACTAGCTAAAGGGCAAGCTACAGATTTTGGGAGGCGAAGATCCTTAGGTGAAGACACCAAATGTCACCCTCTATCCTCCTCACACACACCCACAAATGAACACACACACACACACCAAAATACACACTTAGAAGATAGTAAGTAAGCTAGCCAGACCACAGTCCCTCTACTGCCATCTAAGAATCTTTCAAAATCTACAGATAAACCCGGTAAATCTCACTAGAAGTAGTAGATTTTTAATGTTTATTTATTTGTTAATTTTAGTAAAGGATGATGGGAATGGAACTGATTCAACAGAGCCCAATATGTGGGGCCATGGACAGTCAGCTGGTAAATGCTTGCCAACCTTGCCAAATTTGAGTTTGATTCCCCAGAATCCGTCTTATAAAAGACAAAACAAAAAAGCCAGGCATATGGGAGCCCCTTCAATGATAGGTACCATCATTTAACTCTTTTTTACATGTGCATGTCAAGTATATGTATATCTTAGGAAGCCAAGAGCTCCATGTGTTTTTCTCAAAAGTCTTTAGTGTTAGTTATCCTTTCCCATGTAGACACTCTATGCTAGCACATAAGAACCCCAACACCAGGAATGGCCTACCTCTTTTTGAACTGTTGGACAGTAAGGTCCCAAAGACATTCCCCCAAACAATATAGGCTGTTGTCATTGATCTTGGTTATCATGCAGAATTAACAGTAAGACCCTATTCCTGAAGATACCACAACTCAAGTTATAAAATGTAGAGAAATCAAGTGAGTAGTGATCTGGAAGATTCATCCCTATTGGCTAGCTTCCACATTGACAGATGATGCTGTGTATGAAATGAAAGAAAAGTACTCACCAATATCAGCCAGCTAGAAACCCTATGAGCTACAATGAAGACTGCCCTGGCAAGTGTGCCCACTGGTGCAATAGTAGAACTAGTTTTATGGTAGTAACCAACCAATTCTGGTTGGATTTAAGGCCTACTCCATGAGATGGAACCAACAGTTGGCACCATTTTCAGGGCCAAGAATTTGAAGCTAGATGGATCGTGAGACCTAGGGGAAAACCCTAGAATGTATTCTACTAAATGGACATAGAATTAAAACAGCTCCTAATGACTTACTGCTACACCCACAAATTAGTACATCTCTGGATATCACCAGAGAAACTTCTACTTGAGGTAGACAGCAATTAATTCAGAGACCCACAACTGGTCAGCATGCAGAGAATAAGAGATTGCAAAGCACTCAGCCCTGAGTGAGATATCTACATCATACCTCCTCTTCCTTCCAAACCCCAAATCATCACAGAAGATGAAGTCAAAAGTTATGGGAATAAGAGGTGGGGGGGTGACAGATATAGAACACAAAGATGTCCAGTGGATAGGGAGGTAGTTGTCTGTCTGGAAGGAGTTGCAAGAGGAAGATGAACATGATAAAACGCATTGCATGAAATTCTCAAAGAATTAATATTTACTACAAAAACTAAAAGCCAGGAATGATGGTATGCATTTGTAATACCAGTGCTGAGGATGTGAAGACATGCAGATCTTTGAAGCTTCCTGACCAACTTGATGAAGTCCAGGCTAATGAGAAGCTGTGTCTCAAGTTTACAAGGTGGATAGCATAGAGGAATGACAACTGAAGTTGACCTCTGGCTTCTACATAGTCTAACAGGGACACACATTCATGCATGAACGTGCACATACCCATATGCACACAAACCTAAAATGCAACCCAATTTATGTTATTGTTTTAAAATACAGTAAGATATTTGGGGCGGGTGCTGAGGGTGAATGCCAAGGCAA